GGTGGTGGTTCTGGTGGTGGTTCTGGTGCTGGTGTTGGTGCTGGTGGTGGCGGCGGTGGTGGCGGCTGTTTGCTCTTCTTGCTATTGTTCTTGCTGTTGTTCTTGCTCTTGTAGCTGTGGCTGTAGTTGTAGTTTCAGTTATCGTTGCAGTGGTAGTTGTCCCTATTGTTGTTATCGTGGTGGTGGTGCTGGTGGCGGTGGCGGTGGCGGTGGCGGTGGCGGTGGCGGTGGCGGTGGCGGTGGCGGTGGCGGGAGGAGGAGGAGGAGGAGGGGGAGGAGGGAGAAGGAAGAAGGGAGGAGGAGGAGTTGCTGTTGCTGTTGCTATTATTGATACTGTTGTTTGATGTTGTTGTTGCTGATGATGGTGATGATACTGATAATGATGTGGAGGAGGTAGAGGAGGAGGATGGTGAGGATGGTGGTGATGACGATGACGATAGTGCTCGTGATGGCGATGACGATGATGACGATGAGGAGGAGGAGGACGACGACGACGATGAGGATGAGCTGCTGCAGTTTCCGCCGCCGCCGCCACCGCCGCTGCTGCTTCTGCTGATGCTCTTCTTCACGATCTGCTTACCATTGTTCATCTTCTTGTTCCTACCATAAATCTTGCTTGTTGTTAGTACTCTTCGCTTCCTCTTCCTTTTCCGCTTCTGCTCTCACTTCTCTCTTGCGGCGCCTTCTCCGGATTGAAGGGCAGCGGCGGTCTCAAAGCCCGCTTCATTCGCTCCTTCTCGGGGTCATAGACCTTGGTAGCGAAAGGCGGCGAATGCCTGAGACTCTATAACACCTTTAGGCTTGACGGCAGATGCACTCTGTGCTGAACCCCGTAAAAGCATGACCGATGACGGACTCCCACCTTGGGCTTCGGTGCCCGTGGGAGCGCCGGCAGCGGATTTCCCTCGGCATCCGTGGCCGTGGGCCGCTGGAAGCGCTGCGGCGCTGGGGGCGCCTGGTGCGGAAGGGGACGCGCTACGATCCGAGTTGCTTCAACTCTCTGCCTCTCTCTGCGATCTGCAGCTTGACTGAGTCTGAGTCTACTCTGCCGCTCTCTCTCTCTCTCTCTCTCTCTCTTTCTTTCCCCAATCTCCAGAGCTCACTGAGGAGCGGCTTTGCACCCGGCGCCTCGTAGTCTGGGTGCACGGACTCGTGAAGGTAGAGCCGGCCGCTGTTGCGAGGGACGATCTGGTCGTGGCGGCTGGGCCAACCGTCGAAGCCCACGCGCAGCTCCGTTTCGTAGGCCTCCCGAACAGTGGCCGCCCACCAGCGCTCCTCGAAGAGGAAGCGCAGCCGCGTGCTCACCTCGAGCTCGTCGGGCTCTGGCCGCCGAGTGGGAGGTGGGTTCCACGTCGGCAACAAAGGACGAAGCTGGTCTCGAGGCTTTAGATTCACGTCCAAGGGCCCATACCGCTGCGGCTCCTTCGCCGTCTCCTTCTGCGGCGGCTGCGCAGCTTCCACGTCCTTTGGTGGAGCCTCTGCCACGGGGGTCGGAGGCGCACCCGGAGGGCCCGGAGCCGGAGGTGGCGATCTGGGCGGAGCCGCGGCCGCGGGGGCAGACACGCTGGGAGCGCTGGGGCGCTTGTGAAGGTGCGGCGACTTGGGCGGGCGAGCAGCACCGGCAAAGCCTCGTACCACTGCGCTCCTCGCTCGTTGCATTCCGAGAATTCCCACTGTGCTTCCTCGAAGCCCCTGCATGGCGCGCTTGGGGCGGAAAGCTGACTGAACTTCTCCCTCTCCCTAATTGCCTGCTAGAGAGCTGCTACTGACGTCCTCGCAGTACCCTGAGACAGGAATATGTGGTGTGCATCAGTGCTTCGACTGCTGGTAGGTTGCAGCTAGACTGAGAGGGCAAAACGGCGTCGGACATTTGCATGCTGCTGCAAAACGAAACAAGTCTCATGGCTCCAATATGCTCCAATCAGGCCCGAACTCATCTGGGGAGACGAACTCCACCACGCCGAACGCCGAGTTCTCCTATACTCAACAGCCACATTGCGAGCCGTTTCACCGAAAAGCGGAAAAATGCGGCCAAGCAGCCGTGCGGACGGCTCCGATGATCTTGCGATCGATGATCTCCTGAAATTTCCAAGCGCACCGTCGAAGCTTGCGTCACGTCGCGGCTGCGGGCCTCACCCCACACGAGGTCCGCCCCATACCTGCGCATGGCATAAGGCAGCAGAGCATGGCCCAAGACACCAGTCGCCAATCCTGAGACTCTCCAGCCGCAAAGGCAAGGTGCCCCCTGGCAGCCAGGACTGCACAGGATTGCCACGCGAGCACAAGCGGCAGCCTTTCACCATCGGAGCCAAAACCTTCAGCTGTGGGCTGCAAACTTCAAAGAAACCTGTGGCCGCGCGCCTCCACGCCCTTGAAACGGCCGCTGCGCTCGGCGCCGAGGCCTATGTTCGAAGGAACGTAAACTGGAAATAGCCACAGTGCGAGTCGGTGTTGCTTTGCATGCGTTTCCGCTGCACGACGTTACCGTACGAGCACGGGCTCATGTCTCTGGATGCCTTGCAATCTACTCCCTCGAAGCTAACAACTCGCGATCATCTCCCCATTACCCCGTAAGCCCTAAGCCCTAAATAAGGGTTTGGCGATCGCCGCTACTGAAAAGGCTTTAGCTTCCGTTGTGGTAATGAGTAGTTATCAGCTAGTAGTTAGAAATCAATAGCCTGTACTTAATTTAATACTTAATACATAATAATGAATAGTTAATAGGTTGTGGTTAGTAGGCAGCATTGAATAGTTTAGGATTCGTATTCGTTCATATTTCATAACTCGTAATTCGTAGTTAGTAGTTAGTAGTTAGTAGTTCGCAGGCAGTAGAAAATAGTTAGTAGTTAGTAGCTAATAGCAAATCGTTTATCATTAATAGCTAGTAGTTAGTAGGTAGTGGTTTAATCCATAGTTCGTAGTTAAAGTAGTTTGTAGTTAAAAGTTAGTAGATAGTAGCTTGTAATTAACATATCGAGTAGTTTCTACTCAGTAGTTAGTGTTTGTAGTCGTAGTAGTAGAAGAAGAAGTGGAATAGTAGTTGTGGCAGTAGTAGTAGTTGTTGTTGTAGAAGTAGAAGTAATAGTAGTAGTAGAAGAAGAAGAAGAAAATGGCGGTGGTAATTAATAGTTGCAGTAGTAGTAATAGTGGTGGTGGTGGTGGCGGTGGTGGTAGCTTTTGCTGTTGCTAGCCCACAACTCCCGGCCTGGCCCTTCTGGCGCCTCCTCCATGGCCAGGCCGCGATTGGGGCCGGGCGTTTCTAAGAGATTAGCCCATCCCTCCGCGGATCCATAGACCCGGACCTCTCCTAAATCCCGAATATACTTCTGACATCCTGACCTCCATTCCATTGCAGGTGCTTTCGGAATCTTTTTTCGGGCTTGCGGCTCAGGAAATGGGACTTCAGACGAGGACGTGGGGTCTGAGCCTATGGGCCGCTTGCTCGGTTTTTGCTGTATTTGAGCGAGTCTCCAGAAGTCACGATGTCTGTTATCGGCGACAACATCTTCCAGCAGCACAAGCTTAACAACCAGTACCCTTCACCTGCTGCTTGCTGTCTTCAGCCTTGAGCCGAAAAGTTTGCCGGTGAATCAACGGCTGCGTGGCAAACTGTGGCCACCAATGGAAAGTCCTTGTGCAGGGCACGACAGGATGTACTCTAGTTGCTTTTGCCTTCGCTTCGGCCCAACAAAAACTGCTGGTTTCTGTGTTTGCTGATGTGACCTAGGGCTCGTTTTGCTGCATGTGCCCACTGGCGAAGGAGGCATCCGGATACCCCAAGCTTGATCTGCCCGAATCCCACTTGCACCCTATAGCCGTGGACCCTGGAAGCTTGAAGTGCTGGGGCAAGGCCCAGCTTTCCCAAGAGAAGGCAGTTCAGGCGAAATGCTTCGGATGGCGTGGCATGTTCTCATGCACGCGAGCGATGTCAAGACCCCCAAGGATCCCCGAATGTAATTCCCCCCCCCCCCCGTTTGTTCCGCTGAAAGAACATCAGGCATGACACTCTGCCCTACGACTACGAGTCTGCACGATGCTGGTTCGGGTTCGATTCACTGGAGCCCC